AATCTTTCATGGGTATTTATCAAGAGATACCTTTTTACATTTTTAACTTTTCGAGAGAAACGATCAGGTTTTTTAATTTTTAGTTTATTTTTTTTTATTATAATACACTACCTATTTATTTGATTGGATTTTAATAAATAAAATGTAAGTAGACCGTAGGTACAAACTTTATAAATTACAAGTGCTATATTATTTTAATATTGTATATGTAAAACATTAAAATTTGTTAAAAGGGTCATCTGTCTTTTTAGGTTTCAACTATTTAAAAACATTTTTACTACAGGGTGATTTGCTCAACACGCTCACTCTTTCTTTTTTAATAATGCAACTATTCAAAATCTGATTTCGAGAATTTTAAATATATTTAAAGGGCGTGTTTTATATCTCAAGATTTTTTAACCGCCTACTTCAAGAGTTTCCTACTTCTATTTTTCAAATGAAAATTTTCTCTTCTACCATAAATTATTTAGTGGATAATATTCCATGACCATCAAAATATAAATTTGAATGAATAATCATTGTGTCATTTAACTTTATGTTTTAAGGATAATAGAACCATTATAAAAATGTATAATGGATTTGGAAGATATTTGAGCTATAGTGATAGTAATAGGGTTTTAGTGTATATCTAATTAATATCAATATGTCTTATCAACATTCCTGATTTGTAAAAATGATTCAAGTAGGTATAATAAACACTAGATTCAATATTACATTTATTTTACATTTTTATGAAACCATTTTTCAAGACTATTATCCTTAGCATAATTATTTAAAAAAAAAAAATATTTTGTAAATAATTTCAGTAATAAATGGGGTTTTCATTTGATAGACAAGAGTTTGTATTTCCATAGAACACTCATTAAATAGTACAAAAACCCTGAGAATTTAGAAGTATGGTCTTTAAATAGATTTAAAATAAACATTTTTGAAATTAAATTTATTATTAAATAAAAAAGAGGGAGGGGTGAGCATGATTTGTGAATTACCCTTTATGGCTGTATATAATTTATAGACTGTATAAAATTTTAATTCATATAGTAGATAATAATTTAACCGAAATTCTAATGATTGGTCCTATAATGAAAATGAATTAAGATCAAACCGGGGTTTTTGTTTTCCCCGAAGAGTTGTTAAAAACCATACAGACGTCTTGATAACAAAAAAAAAAATAAAAAAAATACCTACTCATTTATATTACGCATAAGCAGTGTTTGAAAACGTGAAAGCGCGGTCCCTCATTCATTCTAGTCGTAATGTACAACATAACGTATAAGAGGTGTATGTATATTACATGACCCAGAGGTTCCCAAACTGGGAGGCGCAAGCACTTGACAGGAGATGCTCGATATAAATATCGATATATTTTATACGTGTACACTATAAGTACTTGGTACTTGTATAGTATTATACACTAATAAAAATTGTTGTTTCGTTTATTCGAGGAGGGCGTGATTGAATTTTTTGGGGATGCGTGAACCGAAAAAGTTTGGGAACTTCTATGTCATAGCCTACTACTATTAATTATTGTTATTATTAGTGAATTATTGTTATTTTTATTATTATTATTATTATTATTATTATTATTATGAAACGGGACTGATGAACACACCTATATTACCCATAGGTTGTAGGTACGGACGGACGCTTAATAAATATTGAGATAATCATTAAGCAGTGAATCCAAACCTTTTATGAACGTGGCACTAAACATTTTAAATTCAACTTTTCGCGATTCTCGTAAAATCGTCGTTCTAGTTGAAAACACAATTTATCATTATTTATTGATTATTTAAGATTAAATCTAAGTTTAAGATAATAAAAATTACACACACGAGTACATAATATACTGATTGCTTATCGTATACTCATGTCGATTTTCTTCCTATAATTTATCCAGTTAAGAATAAAAAAAACTATTCTAAGCTTTTTTTAACGCACGTACGCGATCAGTTTTCGTCGACGCAGTTTTTTTTTTTTTTTTTTTTGTCCTGGAGTGAAATGGTCGAAATTATTTATTTCTCCCCTCGGCGTCTAATGTTTTCGTGTTGTAATTGCAAGGTTTCTACCCCGTTTTTCGAATTTTGATTTTGTCTCGTGATCATGACTAAGTGAATTCCGCACGAAAATTGTACAAGCCTACCGCTCAATGTAAATAGGTACCTATAGGTAATTAAGAAACATAGTCGGACACATCGCGGTGCCTATCCGTCGTATTAAAATAACACAACAACTTGTTCGGGAAAAAAATAGTTTTTGACACGTCTCGTTGAATCGTATCTATACGTAGACATTGTAATCCAATAATATAATATATCTGTTGAACGGATTCGTTGCGAATGATGTAAATTTCGAGTTTGAAATAATTTCTCACGATATCTGCCGATTCTTGGTTAAAAAAATTCTAGGCGTATATTCACATACGGGATTTTTGTTAAGGGAGGCTTACTAATTTTCACACACTTGACCTCGCGCGTAACATTTTTTTTTCGAGGGGGGGGGGGGGAGATTCAGTCTCAATTCCAATTTGAGTACGACACAGACTAGTATACCTGTGTATTTATATTTTAGTACGGTAATTACTAGTATACTATATGGTAGCGTACATAGGTAATACAGTGGCGTAGTCAGAATTTTTGAATTGAGGGAGGTTTAAAAAGATTATTCAAAATATGCATTTTAATTAGAATTATTTCGTTTATAATGTAAAAGTATTTGAACTTCGTTGCATTAACCATATTATAGTCATCTACTTGTTTTGATCGCTAATTTACTGAATGATTATAAATATTGAAATAATTAAATAGAAATCAATGGGGGGAGGTTACAACACTTCCCCTGGCCACGGCACTGGGTACCTACTGTACATTTGCAAACGTCTCCGTCACATTTCCAGACATTGAAAAATACACTTTACAAACACTCTACCGATTTTTACATAATGTATACACGCCTCTTCGCAACAGAGTACAATAATCACAAACTTCAGAATTCGATGTGGGATATCTGCAGACATTGTTAAAAGGTTATTATTACTTGGCTATAATATATAATATAAATATATATTAATAAATCGTGCACTGCAATGTTCGTAGTTCGTATCTGCATTATTGTTATCCGCCCCCTCGTGACGGTCTCATCGGCTTTTGAATGCTAATGCACATCTCTCTCACTCGCATTTATTTTATAACGATATTACTGTTTATATAAGACGTAAGCGTATTGTTCAATGTTCATTACTATTTATAATATTCTTCCCATTTTGTACCGTGTAACTGAACCAACAATATTTGAATAATATATTTAGTACCTATCTACCTATTATGATTATTATTATGATTATTATTTACCTACACGTGTATGTTATATTTCTTTTGCTGTTGTAAGATAAACATAAGTAATTAAAATTTTTAAAAATGCGTCCACTTGTTCGTCATTAAATTACATTATAATTGCACGTTTCTACCCATATCTGTCCTCCGTCCCGACACTCCTAACACAGGTCTGCGGTCTGCTGTAATTATTTTACCGATAGACCGGAACACCCGCAAGTAAGCAGTTTTTCGCCGTGAAACGAAGAACAATCATTTGAATCCGTGGTACTCCTCAACCGGTGTGTCGTCGAGTAAGTCCAAATGTATCACTTGAAGTGCTCTAATATTAAAATGACATAAATTTTTTTTAAACAATTAATGAGCAAAAAAAAAATCTTTTTTTTTTAAATATTGTATCTATGAGCCGCCTTGGTTAGTAGGCACCGGTATCCTTCCAGTCTGGCCCCGAGTGTGTCGTCATTTTTATGGATCTTAATTAGGGTGTCGTCATACAAACAAAAAGGTTGAGAACCACTGGATTTAAATCAAGAAGTCTCGACCTGGAGGGCGCGCTCCCTTAGGGAGGCGTGAAAACGTTGGAAAAAAACACGATAACCAACATTAAAGTGTGTTTTAACTTGTGACGTGAATATTATAATAATTATAAGTATGCGTACATCAATCTTATAATACCTAATGAAGGGGTAGGGCGTGAACTCATACAATAGTTCGAAAGAGGGCGTGGACCTCAAAAGATTGAAACCCTTTGATTTAGATCATTCGTCCAATTTTTTAAATTGGAATTTTCAAAAAGCCATCAATCAAAAAATTCTAAGTATTTATATAGCTGTATTTTATTCTTATGACATATATTTATCATGATTTTACATCTGTGAATAAACTAGGTAATTAAATTATGTTTTTAGTTTTAATCAAATTTTTATTACATTTATATTTATTTTTTTAAACATTGCCTGATACAATTAAAACACATATAATAATATAATACACCACATTACATAATATTTTAATAATAGTTAAAAACTTACTTTAAAAACGCAATTACAAAATTACTATTGAAAAATATACATAATTTCCCATTTAAAATAACTTACAACACAAAAAATTTAAATAGTTAATGATAAAATAGAAACTAGCTAGACGTTTTATTTCGGAAAAGGTTTGGAGATTTTAAACGACGGTGATTGATTTTCTGTAATAAATATCAAGTAGAAAAAATTGGAGTACTAGTAAATTTGATCACTCGCCAATCAGTAAAAATTATACATGATAAATAAAAATAGGTAGTGGTAGAAGATTAGAAAACTTATTTATGATAAAAAGTTAATAAATTTAACAATTTAGGTTTTTCAATGATCAATAATCATAAAAGTTTTTTTTTAATAAAAAAATATTTTTAATGTGCTGAATGTAATATTATAAAAAACATTTGTGGTTAAGTAGTATAGGTTTAAAAATATTCTACAGATTTATAATGCATGTATCCAAAATCAGCTGTTTTTTTTTTTTTTTTTTTACATTATCTTTAGCAGTATTAGTAACTGTTATTTCAACATTTGTTATAGTCGATACATGACAATAATATCCATACATAATATTGTTCATTTAATAAATATTAATTTTACACAAATTAATAAAATTGGGGTAGGTAATAAAAATAAATAATATTAAGATACATATTTTAATCCAGACAAAATAACATGATAGACTCATAAATTAAATATGTATGTATATGGTGTATATAAAATTACAAAGACAATATATGTATGTATAAATACACACACACACACATATATTTATATAAAGTTGAACTAAAGGCATAAGTTAATATTCTAATACATTTGTTTTGAATCAGGCATATATAAAGGTCATTTAATCTTGAATTATTGTCTGCTGTTTTTAACGACTTCTTCATCATTCCAACACTCAGTATCAGATGGCACTGGAGTGAGTTCTCTTGTGGGTCTAGGTGGAGTAGAATTTCTTTCAGTTCTATTATTATCATTATTTGATGAAAAATCGCATCTTAAGATAACATTCTTGAGTGTTTCATCAATAGGTATGTCTGCAAGACGTTGACGGCTGACATAATATTCAATAATTGATGGGTTAGTTGTCTTAATTGAAGGTGTTACTTTAGCCACTTTCTTTTTTTCCATTTTTAATTTGGTGCGCAATTTTGACTTTTTAAATGGGTACATGTTACGTTTGAATTTTAATGTTTCCCGCATCAATGCTTTAAGAGGAGGAGGTGATAATGGACAACCAATATCATCGTGTGTTGGAGATGCTGCCAAATTGTCCCCAGGATGAATTCCATCAGCGAAAGTCACACGTTTAGACAAGTTTGTAGTGTATGATGGCTGAATATACCTAAACACGATAATTAGAAATTAATGTTTTTGTAAATGATTTAATAGATATTTAACTTAAACACTATAAAGCAAAAAAACAAACAATAACAATACATTAGTATGGTAATAACAAATAAATTAAGAATAACATATTTATATATATATATAAAAAAAAAAAATAATAGAAATAATAATAATTCAAAATATTCATACACGTAAATATGTATTTATGCGTGAGCTTACTTTGGTTTGGATAGGATACTGTTAGTTGGTGGCTGAAACAATCCTAAAAATGGATGTTTAATGGTTTCCATGTTGTCGCTATAGCGAACCATTACTGTATCAGGCAATTTCTCACAAATTTTTTCTTTTGCACGAATTTTTAATTTTTGAATTAATAACTAAACAATAAACAACAGACAAATAATTAGTTAAAATCAAATACTACAATTAATAAATTATTTAATTATTTACACACATTATTTATAAAAAATCAAAGTTTTTTAGATGACATATTACTTTTTAACCACTGTATGTAAAAAGTAATTTAAAATTATTATTTAATATTAATTAATTAATACCTTTTGATTAATAATTGTATCCAGCATCGAAAGTTCTTTAACAGTGACTTCTTCTTTCATTATACCTATAAAATATAAATAAATGTATTGAAAAGCTACTATCAAATAATTATATTATTTATTATTATTCTTTAATTTAGACTAGCGATTCTTAACCTTTTATAGATCACAGACCCTTGATCAAAGATTTTTAGAAATCACGGTCCCCTTACTAATTTGTATTTGAATATCTTTTTTTTTTTTTAAATAACTAATGTTATTATAACAAAAACTGTAGTAATAATTTTACATTAAAAATTACCTAAAGTATTTATAACAAAACATACACAGTTATAATTATTTTTATTACACTTAATTTTTTATAAAAGAGTAATTATTTTATTTATAATATTCTTAAAATTTAATTAATATTTATTTAATCTGATGTTTGGTATTGCATTTGAGTAGTAGATATACAACAATAGACTAAAATGCTAAATGTATTAGAAAAACTGATAAATAAATATTAATAATAAAATTATTGGGTGTAGAATTTACACCTAGTATCTAACAGTGCAAATTGTTTCAAATTCCATTATATCTCGCTATCAGTATAATAAAGATAAAATAGGTCTATCTCATATATAATAAGATATATATGAAAAAAAAAGATAAGAATCCAATAATGATTTAATAATGTACTCATGTCACACATTGACGTGTTATGTATTAAGACTGCCACCGAACCTCGAAATGAGCACCACAGGCCACCAGGGGGCCGCAGACCACAGGGTTAAGAACCACTGATTTAAACTATTGAAAGTAATTTTATACAAAAAATTTAAAATATAATTTTATTAATTGAGAGAATTTAGATATGCAGTTTACCATTATTATTATCATCACTTCATTTTAAATTTTTATTATTACCTGATTCATTTCCACTGTTTACTTTTTCTTCTAACTCTATAAGGATGTTACAATTGTTTTCCATATTTATTTCTGAAGTTTGATCATTTTCCAATGTATCGTTTTCTTTTTTAATTTCAAAATCCATAACTAGTTGTTCAGATTTAGTTTCTACTAATAAATCTAAATTTGTAGCAAAACTTTCAGTTTTTTCAAAAACATTTATAGGCATCACTTTATTACTTGCATTTTTATATTTGTGATTATCATTAAATATATCAAGATAGGAATCTGAAAATTCACTTCCATCTGTGTCACAATCCGAGGAACTAGTCACACAATGTTCTTCATTGATATCATGTTCAATACTATATTTTTTAAGTATGTATGGTTCATCCAGCCAGCTATTGACATTGTCATGAATGTCGTCAACTATTTCCCATTCACTTTCAATTATATCATCATCGTTTTCATTGTTGTCAATATTTACATCTTCTTCATGACCAGAATCTGATTCCAAAGAGTCTACCTCGTCATCACTGAACACACCTGATTCAGCATCAGATGGAATGTAAAATGGAATTAAATCTGCATGTAGCCAATACTCATTTATTGATCCACTTATGTTTATATTAAAACAATGTCTGACATCAACCCCAACTCCCTCACGGTTACATGGATTTACAGATATGTGCACCATACATTTATCTTCAACAGCACAGTACGCCATGTAATTATCACTGGTAAGATAAAGATTGGTATTAGCATCTTCAAGTATACATGAATAAGCTCGAGTTTGTAAAGGTATGGGTAGTATATTATCAGAATTTTGATCAGTTTCTGACAACTTTTCCTGAGATATCAAACTCTCTGGGATATTTACTTCCTCAGAGTTTATTGTAACAGGATTACTCAGCGAATATTTAATTGGATTTTGATTGTAATGTTGAAAATGTTGATGATACAATTCGACAAATAGTTTATCAGAACTTGCGCTATCCGATTTTTCACTATTGACGATTTTATCCTATAAACAAAGTTGTAAATTAGTATTGTTAATGAAATTTTAGTAAATAAAATATTTATATAAATTAACTACAAAAACCTTATTCAAAATTCCACACATTCCATTGACAGTTAAAATTTTATATTTAATGTTATTACACAAACTATTGTAATTTATTATGTTATAAATTGATAGATTACACTTTGCAGGTGGTAAAAAATTCACCTATGTTAAATTATGTTGCCTAATGCTAACGCTTAAAGTAGCACAAGTGGATAAACAATATTTTTGGTTTACTGATATCCGGTTTTGTGAATTGTAGAAGAGGGGCTATCAAAAGATTTCAATGATCATAAATAGCATACACCTTCTCTGAAAAATGTAGATCATTTTACAAAAACAACATAAAAATCAGTCAAGTAGTTTTTAAGTCTATTAATCTAGAATAAATATACCAACATTAAATATATATAGAAAACAATATTAAATAATATTTATACTGAAAAAATTTAGATCTAAGATTTTTCAGATATAAAACCAGTTATTTCATTATTTAATATTTATTAATCAATTACTTATATAAATTTAAAATTATTTTAGTTATTTGTAGTTACTTGGCAGTAAAAATTTAATTTCTTAAAATAAATGCTATAAATATATCTTATCTGAATAAATGTGGGATAATCAAATCATATTAAAAGTTTTATTTTAAAATTATAATGAAATGATTGATTAATATGGGTTTTTAAACAGTAATGTGGTTTGAAATAAATGTATGTTATTAATATTATGCATCTGAGTGTAGTATTAAATACTAGTATGATTTTAGAACTGTGAACTGTATGGTATCAATGAATTGAAAAGTAAGAACTTGAATAACAATCTTTTTATGAAAATGTGATTATGAAAACTCCCATAAAATTATTATTGTCTAATTGTCTATTTACCTGATTGTCCGGAATGTCTGAAATAATAATATTGTTATTATTTGATACTTCCCTTTTTGAAAATTCAACTTGGTCAACAGAAATATTAAATGATGGCACTTCCATATGCTTTTCATACTAAATAATAAATAAAATTGTAAATATATATAATTTATAAATTATCACTAGTAAAATTAATTATTTTTCATCTTACTTGTGAAAATGATTCATCAGTAGTTGGAATAGCTTTAATCACCTCATGTTCAGATATATCTGTATCTAGAGATTTCCACATGTTATAATCTTCAGTATGGTAACTATAATTTGGATTATAATTTTCATACACACTATAGTCAATCGGACTTAATAGATCATGTTCAATAGTTTTCATTTCAGAATACGTAGGTATACCAGTGTATTGTTCATAAGTTTGAGTGTAATCATCATATGCAGAGGGATTAATCTCATGAATATCATTCATGCAATTTATTGACATTATTTCACATGTTTGGATTTGTTCATTATAAAGGTCATCGTCATTGTTCGATAGAGAACTAACATTTTTTTGCTCATTAGTCAAGATATTTGCTTCAGTTTCATCCTTACACTCTTCTATTTCATTATTAGGACTCTGTGATCTGCTTATTTTATTATCCATGGATTGTTTGTCCCAACGAGATTTCTTTTTTAATTGTAATTCTTCATCCCCAAATTTAGAATAGCTTGGATGATTAATTTCAGTAATCGACTTATTCAAACTCGTCCAATCTGACGTCCATTGAGTAATTAGTTCATTGCTGGAATCAGAAACTTCTAGTACATCAATACTAGATAAATTATTTTGTAAATCTACAGTATTACTATCTAAATGTTGTTCAGAGAAATCAGCCAAATTTGACAAAGAGGTTAATTCTTTCTTTATAGAAACATTGTCAACTTCTAAAGGTAGACCTTGCTCTTCGCTTCTTGAATCTAAACTATTTGTTTCAAAAACATTAGATGTAAATTCCTCTGGGTCTTTAACATTGCTATCATTTGAAAATGTCTCATATTTAATACATCTATTTGGCGAGTCATTTACCAACGAATTTGAATGAATTTGTTCACTTTCTCTATCATCACTTGAATGTTCTGATGAATTAGTGCTTGTAGTAAGTGATTGGTCAGTATCAGATTCTTCAGAATCATCCCAATCGTAACTATGATCAACAGATTTTATATCAGTATCAATATTGATTTTAGGCGATTCTTTTTCAGCAATGGTTAAATGAGGTTTTTCCATGCGTGTTTGAGGAATTACTTTTGGTTCATCAGGATTTAAAAGTTTGGTTTCATTAACTATTGGATTGTCTACTATTGGTTCATCAGGATATAAAAGTTTGGTTTTGTTAACTATTGGATTGTCTTCTATTGGTTTATCAGGACTTAAAAGTTTGGTTTCATTAACTGTTGGATTGTCTACTATTGGTTCATCGGGATTTAAAAGTTTGGTTTCATTAACTATTGGATTGTCTACTATTGGTTCATCAGGATTTAAAAGTTTGGTTTCATTAACTATTGGATTGTCTACTATTGGTTCATCAGGATTTAAAAGTTTGGTTTCATTAACTATTGGATTGTCTACTATTGGTTCATCTTTAGATTTATCTTCTTCATTGGTCACTTTAAAATCCGTAGTTTTATCCAAATTAAATTTTTTTGATCCAATTAGATTAATTGGTGAAGAAAATCCAAACACAAATGGCATATTTTGGCAAGTTGAAAGCTTCTTTAAATTCATTTTTACTTTGTCCCTATATGATATAGGTTCTTTAACAGGTTTAATGACAGAACAAGTAATAGGAGGTTTATTATATAGATCAAGTGGCGTGCTTTGTATTTGAGGTTTAAAAATACTCTTAAGATCTTTATCCACATCATGTTGTTCACTATTATCTTTTTCCAAAAATACAGTTTGTTGTATGTCATTTTTAAGTTTAAATACATCATTATGACACTTGTCAACAGATTTCTTCAACATTTTATCATTTTCTTCTTCATTAGATTTACTGTCAGAATTTTTATTTTTTGAAACATTATCAATTTTATCACTTTTGATATCTTCATTGGTCTTCTGCAAATGTGTTTTTCTTTTTTCTTTTTCTCCAACAGAATACAATACATTAGGCAAATTAAGAACTTCAATTTTATTTGTACTTCTGTTTGTAGGAGAACAATTATCTAAATTAATGTGATCAGATTTTTTTTTAACATTTTTATCGCATCTTTCTGTATCTTGTAAAAGCGATACTTTATCTTTATTTTTTGCTTCCGAGTGATGGATGACTCCCCTCATGGAACTTTTTTTATTAATGTTCCACTCATTGGGTCGCAATTCAAAAAACTGAACAGTATCATTTTTATTTTGACTTAATCCCTCTACATCTTCAGCCTCTGAAGTATCAGTTGATTTGGATCTTTTTTTAGACTTCTTTTTTGTCAGATATTCGTCTGAATCGACAGATTTTCTTTCTACAGATTTCTTCTTTTTACTCTTCTTTTTCTTATCATTAACTTTAGGTTTTGAACAACTATCAACTAATTTAGATTTTTTGAGGGTTTTCTCATCATCAGAAATATCTGAATCATGCTTTCTTTTTGAACTTTTCTTTGACTTTTTATTCTTTTTTTCTTTATCATTTAAATATTTTAATACTTCGATAACAGTTTCATCACATGAAAGAGACTGATTTTTATTCACTTTATCAGTTTTAACCAATTTTGTAATTGTTTCTTTTAAACAATCCTTAACTTTTTCAAATTTTTCGTCATTCTCTTCATTTGATTTATTTTCTTTTTTTTCGTGTTTCTTTTTCTTCTTCTTTTGTTCCTTACTATCTAAAGGTCTCTTTTTAATTTCAACATTTAATGCTTTTTCGATTAAATTGAGAATACTGCTGTTAGTATCTTTTTCTTCTTCAGGACTTTTGGTCTTATTCTTGTCACCCCTGTGTTTCTTTTTGTAACTTGTTTTGGTTTTCTTCTTTTTCTTATTTTTTGATTTATTTTTTTTCTTTTTTTCTATTGTAGAGCTTGAATCGGTTGATTCTGAATCACTATCATCTGAACTACTATCACTTTCTGATTCTGAATCTTGTGAACTTTCACTGGAACTTGATTTATGCCTCCTCTTCTTACTTTCTTTATTTTTAAATGTTTTAGACTTTTTACTAGATGATTTTTTCCTTTTTCTAACCTTTAAATCAATATTTGAAGATACTTCTTCAACAAATGATCCACTATTTGAATCCGACTCTTCAGCAGCATTGTGTAAAGAAACAGATTCATCTGAAGATTTTGTGGACATATAGTCTTCAGAATCATCTTGTATAGAATTATCATTCAATGATACAGATTTTGTTGATAGATTGTTATCATTGTCTTTTTGAAAAGGTACATTATTAGTAGTAGCAGTAATGGAATTTTCACTTTCTTCCTTTTCAACTTTTACAATTTTCAAAAACTCTTCATATTCTGTATTCAATTTAGCATTTCCTTGTGGTTCTTGAATTTGAATTGGTTGAACTGGACAAATGTTAACTTCAATCTTAGGTTCATCTTCACCAACATCAGATGCAGTGTCCATTGCTTCTTCCTGGTGACTTATGTCTAAAGGATTTTTTTTATCTCTTTCGATTATGCAGACGTTATCATTAGTATTCATTTCAACACTTTGAGAAACTCCAACATATGAAATTTTATTTTCAGCAGCTGGACTACCGTCATAATCACTATCCCATTTGGATGGAACAGTAGGTCTTAAATCAACAAAAGATGAATCATCATTAAATCTAGATTTTTTAGTTCGTTTACTAGTAGTCATTTCATTCATCAATACGTCTTCATCTATTTCAATATTTGGATCTTCTTTGACTTGAGTGACAATAAAATTTGTTTTGGGCCACCAACCTTTGAATGGATAAATATTTTTATCCTTCATCATAATTAATAGTTTTTCATCAATGTTATTATAATTATTGTCTGTATAATTTTTTTTGAGCCTGAAAAAAATAAAAATAAACTATAATTTATAGTGCAATTAAATTGACCAACTACAGTTTGAAATCCTGAGTTGTACGACAATGCGTATCTTAAGTAATACTTAGTCTACCATAAGACAACTAAAGCACTGACCAACTCAATTGGTAACAAAATATGGTCATTAGCAAATACCAACAATTGATGTATATCAACTATAGTAATTGTATATACTCCATCAGATGGTATTAGGATGGAAAAATTAATGCAAAAGTAGGAGAAATATACATGACAAAGTGTATGTCATTCTACAGCCATAAAAACTAGTAATTTTTTTGTGAACCTGAGTATATAATATTATATTATTCATTTTTAAATTAATACTAATGTTATTTACTTTTTATATCCTTGATTATAACATAAATCACTTATTTTAAATATATAATTGTACATTATGATAAATAAATGTTTTACTTTTTTGGTTTTATTGAAGATAAGAATTTAAGTACAATTGCTTCAATCTCTGGAAGAAGTGTGGCAAACATTTGCTGTCTGTTCTGAAGATGGTACGTGGCATTTGCTGGATTTTCACTGAATTTAATGACTGGCTTATTTTTAGTGTATCGAATAATATAACTGGGAAAATCTTTTGTAAAATCTCCTTCGTGAGTGTTGACTTCAAGACCTTTAAGTATTTCTTTTTTGCGATCTAATATGTTGTAGCGTATTTTCTGATCTCCGGTTCCTTTTTCTGTTTCAGAAGGTCTTTAATAAAAATAACATAAAAAATTAGAATAAATACTAGGTAACTAGTTATAACTTTGGATATGTGAAATATTTGTACTCTACTATCAGTTGTGATACAGAGAGATTAAATACATTACTGATCAGTTTTAAAAAAACTTAATTTACAATCCATACAAAATATGACATGAAAAATAAATGATATGAAAGTATAATATATATATGAAGAGTTGCCTTGAATAACTTGAAGAGAACTGTTCAACAGTCTTCTAAATTAAAATGATTCTGAAGAGGAACTGTTGCTTTTTTAAATTTTTCTATTTTATATAAAAGCATTTCTTGGCCATTTTCTTTTAAGTCTTCTAAATGGGTTGTTGGGAATGGTGATTAATGACATATGAGAGATTAGTAAGATTTAATTTGAGTAGTTTGGAATTAATTTTTTTGTAATAATGGATTGTTACTTCATTAATTGTTATGATTTGTAGAAAATTATTGGTTATATATCATGGACTCCAGTGTTTTATTTAAGACACATGAATTGGTCTTATGTTCAAGGATTTAACTTTGAATACTATAAAACCAGAACCTAACCTAACCAGAGGGGAATTATAATTATCTCATATATTAAAATTTTTTTTTTAGACTCATTGAAAAAGATAATAATGGGCAAAGATGTAAGTGAGTAAACTCTTTTCTTTTATTTTTTATGTTAGGCCAAAGTTAGTTTTTTGTCCAAAAGGATTTCTAAGTATTTAGTTACATTTTTAATTGGTATAACTATGTTATTAAAAGATAGTTGCATACAATAATTTTTGTTAAATTTTATTTGAACTTGATTTATTTTTAATTGTCTAAATTTTCAATTAGTTTGTCCAATTTTAAATTTAATTTAATGGTACTGAATATTATGGACAGCTATATTTGGATCTTTGATGCTAGAACGACTGTATAATCAGCATAAGTTGCTTGAGCTATACAAATTGATCTGAGAAGATTATAGAGGGTAAAAGATGATAAATCACTTCCTTGGGGTATTCACTTTATAGTAGGAAGAGTAAGTTATTATGCTTAACAATAAAAAATCAGACTTTAAGAAATGATTTTAGAGTAAAGAAATATGGAGCAGATGGAAATAATTATATTTAAACAATTGCCTATTGTCAGAAACAATCAAATGCTTGAGCGATATCAAGAAATACACATGGACAATGTTCTTCTTTTTTTTTTCAAATTATGATATTTTATCAATGACTCAATATATTTAATGAATTTTTGAATAATATGAAGGGAAATCAAATTGATTGCTAGGTATGATTTAATATTCTTTGACAATTGGGGGAATCTGCTCAAATAGAAAGTTTTCAAAGAATTTACCTAATGTCACCATATACCTAATGTCTCGATGGTAGGCTTATAAGACACTATAAAGTTACTAAATGTTTTAGTTTTTCAGGTTTGGAAATTAATTTAATTTATATAATATTAATAATAATTTACATGTTAGATTCATTTTTATGGTTTTTGCTATCAGATCTTGAGTCTCCATGCCTTTTCTTTTTTCTGGACTTGCGCTCTTTTTCTTTTATTTCTTCAGCTTCATCCATCTTGAATCTTCTAAATTTGTCAAAGTGAAACCCACCTTTAACAAAATCTTTCCAACTTTTGACTTCTAGTGCTCGCATCTTTGGCTTCTCTGTTGATCTTGACCTAGTCCTAAAAGAAAAATAATGTCACGGAGACATGAATTTTAAGCAGTAATAATTTCGGGTAAATGATATACCTCTATTTAAATGATAATGTAAATATCAAATAGGTACAAAAAGTGCTCAGCGCTTCCTTCACTAAAGTTTATAGAATAATATTGCAGCAATGCTGACGACCCGGGACTTTGTTTTCTGTGGATAACTTTTGCGCTAAATATTTATTATTGGATTTAGTACAGTCTTTGTGCTGAGGAATAAAAAATTGGGCAAATAATAACCTGGATTTTGAACGTGAACGACGGCGATATTTGTGGCCTCTTCTAGATTCATCTCGACGCCTGTGATGGTGCTTACTCGAACGCTTATCCTGTTCTCTTATCTTAGCTGAATATTTTTCTGCTAATGATTCTATACCAAGTTTCTGAAGGATAGGAGCTTCATTACCTAAAATTAAAATTAATTTAAATTAGACTCAACACTAACTTAGTTTAGTAAAGCCTCTATCTTTTTAAGTAGATATAAATTAATAAATAGTGAATAAAATATTTTGGGAAATCATAACCACAGAATAATATACATTTATTTTCAAATATTTTTAATATAATAAATTTTAATTTTAAAACACATAAATATATTAATGTTATAAAAACAATTATATTCCTTGCACAATAAAACTACACTTATGAGCCAAATTTTAAAAATATTGACAAAAATGACCAATCATTTTTTTTATTTTTGTAATATTAAGTTACTTAATTAAAATCAATACAATATTGTACTACAAGTTATGAAAGAATGATTTAATCATAATAAAAGAAGTTTATAGTAAAATATTGTAAGACAAAATAGTAAAAACACATTGAATGTGTATTGATAAAAAATCTTGATATGAAACAGACATTTGTTGAATATCTAAGAACCATGTAAAGTTTTGAGTTAAAAGTTACTTTTTCTAACTTATTCTTGCAATCTAAGGCAAATTTGAGAAAAATTAACAAAGAAAAACAAAAATATATAGTATAAAAGAAACCAATGGAAAAAAATTCCAAAAATGAAAAATTCCAGTGAGTTATTAACTTATGATACTATTCTATCTACTTTTAACATATTAAAATCAAAATAATTAATAACTGAATAATAACTGCATATCATGAAAAATAATTAAATTTATACTATAAATAACTTAAAAAAATCAAATAAATGAAAGTTAATTTTAACTTTTTAAAAGTACTAACTAGATTCAAATTTTTTATCAGAAAAAAACCTTAAATTTTAAAATCAAAGCATTTTTTTTTTTGCTTTAAGACATGTATACATTAAAAAAAACTTGAAGTATTGAGTTTCATTGATTATATCACTTCAATAGACATTAAATTTAAATTTAATAATGTACTTATCAAAAAACAATTTTAAGCATAGCTAGTCTAACTTTTTGTATAACCACAGCTTCAAACAATGATCTTAATAATAATAATTGAATTTTACAAACATTCTTTTCTCCCTACTTGATTATTTAAAAAAATACTGAGACATTTATATTTTTGGTCCACTTAAATATAAACTAAGTCAAATTTGCTACAGAAAACCTTACTAATTATCTATGCACCATAGGTATGCCCAAATATTTTACGCAGAGGGTCCAACTTGATGCATACCTAGAGGAGTTAAGGGACTTTAATTCCCTTTTTTTGAACAATTTTTGTTATTTTCAAATTCATCATGATTTTAGTCTTAAATTTAATATGAAATAAAAAAATTGTTGTCCCTTTCCCCAAATTTTAGATTTTATATGATGGATGTCAATCACCAAATATATAATATTATTAAGTTAAATATGTTAGTTGGTTACAAAATAATTAAAATTCGAAGTGCTGTTGATGTATTGTTAGTTGGAGGTAAACACAATATCTTGTGACTCCTCAATAGTTGGTTTAGTATAATTTTTATTTCTGGACTAATGAATTTGAGCAACATTACTCAAATAATGACCATTAGATATTCTTTGGATAAATCCCAATCAACTCAACGAATGTGTCATTTAATCAACATACATAACTTTCTGATAAGGTGGTAACTGTAAAACGCAATACTGGTCACAACTAGTACAATTACATGTTTGCTTAATATTCTATTTTCTAAGTGGTTATGACTGCTAAATCTAGTTATCTTTATACAATATAATTTAGATATCTATATTTCTATTCAATGCATCTGTGGTGGAAGCCACCTGAAATCAAAGAGGTTGCAGATGCATATACAGTAAACACGCCTATACTGTGCAGTTTTTCTATCAAGTATTAAAAGACACAAAAATAAATAGTTTCAATAACTTCATTGCTTTGCTTAAAATTTAGTACTACAATACATACACACAAAAATTAGCTAATTGCTATTAATGGTAAACCAACAATAAACTAAATTAAGTATAGATGATATTAAGGAAGTAAATAACATAATATATATCGATAAATAAACATCAATAAAAATATATTTATGTTTTTTAACCTTCAGTTAGATAAATTGCGATTAAATTATATTTAATTTTCCAAAAACTAATATATTTCTATATTTAAAGTTAAGAATAGGTATTTGAATTTAAGATTTAAGAAAAATATTGAACAAAATTTAACTAATATATGAATTATTTAATTATTGTTTTTTATGTATTTTTTTAGTTTTCATTATATCCTACTAAATAACAGACACAGTCAGAATTTTATTTTATTTTGGGGGAGGAGGTCAAAATAAATGTTAGTACAATTTTCCAACAAGAAAAAATTACCACATGCCCACATAATATTGTTGAATAATAATTGACGTCTCAAAGCGTTTTTGACATATTTGACGACGGTATTTTTTTTTATTTAAATTACAAGGATTATGATTTTATATACTGATATGCAAAAATTTTAGAATTGGGGTCTCAGACCTCACGGACCTTTCCCCTAGATACATTCCTGCTAAATAATACATGCATAATTTAACATATTACTATAACAACTGTTTTTAAATAATATATTTACCACCACTTCTTAGGAGATGTTGATATAATGCTGCATTATTTCCTTGTAACAGTTCATCTTTCTTCATTTCTTCAATTTGTTCAATTGTTTGTTGAGCCTTGATAACTTTAGCAACTATAAAATAAACATTATCTTATAATAATCAAATTATTATGACTTTTAAATGAAATATTATCAAATAATAATCTGATGCTAAAAAAATTGACAGTTATTGAATTATTGCTTAATATTCAGAGTATCTAAGTAGATACATTTTTATGTAAAAAAGGTTTCAGTAAACCTATGTGAATAATAAAATAACAATAATTTATTTTTAACAGAATTTGTATAAAAGTATAATATGAGAAATTGAGAACCAAAAAATATAAACTGACAATTATTTAATTTGTTACTTGCTTACCTTTTTTATTAGTAACAACTTTTTTTTTTGTTACTGTTTGGAATACATTATGTTCAGGCACGAACTCCGCATCATTTCCCTCTCCAATGTCTGAACTCTGATTATCAGTAATTGAATTATTTTGTTCTTGTAACTTTTGTTTCATCATCGAAAACGCCATCAATCGTTTTTTTGCTTGGGATTTACCCAACACCGTTGATGCTTTAGACACTTTCTCAATAGAGTCATCTTTTCCATTTAACGCAGGTGAGTTTTTCTGTTGATTTATTGCCTCATTGAAAGTTTCAGTTGATTGCATTTGACTTTGTGGATTAATTGGATAGCTAGGTTGTTGAATTTGAATGTTGTATGGTTGTATCTGAGCAATAATAGGAACAGACTGTTGCACTGATGTAATCAAAGGTAAAGTTGAAGGGTCAATGGTTTGTTGAATTGTATTGTTAATGCTCTCAGGTATGTTTTGTTGCACCTCAATTTGTTCAGATGGTGCAGTTTGAAAGACGGCAGCATTAATGGTTTGTGAGGATTGTTCAATAAGAATATCAGCTTTTAAGTTTTCTGTTAATCCATCATCATCAGTTTCTGCTGTAGGAGAATATCTGTAACATCATAAAATACATATATTTATTAATAAATATCAGCTAATTAATTATTTAAATATTTATGAATTTATGAGCAATCATGAAATATATAAGTTACCTATTAGATTCATCAACTGTTATGTTGGTTTTATTAGCTGGCTTCTCTTCAACTGGTAATTGTACAGAATTAGGCGGTGGTGGAGGAGGTTTAGATGTTTGTGTTTGATTTGCTTGATTAAAATTATAATTATAATAATTTTGATATGGTTGATAATATTGTTGACTATTGTAATCCCACTGGTATTGAGGATAAGGATAACCATAATAATTGTTATAGTTATACATATAATTATTATAATTTGCATAGTTTTGCATGTTATAATCAGCTGGCAATGGTGCTGCCGGTGGTTGTGGCAATTGTCCATTATCATTTTTGGGAAGTGGTGGAAGAGGTGGCATAGAATTATCGGTCGAAACAACTGAACTAGGTTCAGTAGTAACATTTGTATTTTGAGAATTTTCATCAATTGATTCTTTAAGCACTTGGCTTTCGGAATTACTAATTTCACCTACAATTTTTGAAGGATCTGTACAATCATTGTTCAACAATGCATTTTCAACTGGTAGGCAGTTATTTTCAATGGGTAATAACTGTTGTTGAGGTGTTTCACACATAGAATTTTCAATTGCTTCTGGATTATCCATGTTTCTGAAAAAAAAAATATATATATTTCATTAATTTATGTTTTCTAGCTTCATTGTAGAAATTAAATAGTAAAAGCAGTACCAGTTACACAATTTCAATCTATTCAATAATTTTACAAAAAATTAAGTATCTACCTACTTCTGCTCAAGTAGCATTTAAATTGTTTGGTAAAGTATATCTAAATACTAAGAACAATTATATAATTTATTTTTTGTTATTACTTTCCAGCAAAAATTCTAATAACATTTTGCTTAAAATAATTATGTTATAAAAAATAATTCCATATTATTATTTTATTTTTTTAGTTTAAATAAAAATAATTACTATGCAAAATTTCAATAGATCCTTTATAATAGTATTTGAAATGCAATAATAATTTTGTCTTCTTAAGAAAACAAACCATTTAAGTGAAATTTAAGATAATAAATTAACTAATCATAATCATAATAATTTTATGGATTAAACAACATAATTAATATATAATAGATTAAATATATTCTTTAATTTTAATAAAATACATTTTTTTCAAATAAATAGGGAACATACATTGTTTAAATAGTTGCTTATACCTTAACATTTTTAATTAAATTTTATGAGACATTTTTGAAATTTAATTAATTAGAGTATCTGATAAATACAATACAAATCAAATAGGTAATATAAATTATTTCTTATAGCATTAATATTTATCAAGATATTTATGCATCTATAAGTGTTTAAAATTGTAAAAAATTGCCAAATGTTATTTTAAAGAATGCAATTAAACATTGGCAGATAAATATTTGATCTTTTTATTCTTAGATAATTAGGTAAATAATTTCAAATATGAAAACTAATGTATTTTTAACAAATTTACTAACATAGGTAACCTACAAAATAATAATTTTAATACATAATGGTAATCTTTACTAATATATATAACTCTTAGAGCATTGTTAGTGTTAAGTAAACTCGATAACTATCGGTCCAATTTTGATGGGGTTTTTTTATATGTTCCTTATGATCACACAAATGTGATAATAGTTATTAACAATTAAAATAAATGTGGAAATTATATACCTATGAATTATTATCGATAAAAATAATCTCACGCAACGCGTGTATACCAACATGTATATATTTCTAAGTTTTAAAAATAAAATATATACTATTATATAAATATAGATATATAAATGTGAAAAAGGAAATCTTTGTCACACTTGTTCTCTGAAACTACTTATCCGATTATCTTGATTTTTTTTTTTTTAAATAAAAAGAGTACCATAGTGGACCAGGTTTTGGGCCTAATTTCAATTCTATAAGTTACCTAATTAAGAAATTATTTCTTTATAAATGTTTATTTTTCACTATCATATGGTACAACGCGGAAAAATAACAGACATTTAGACGTGTTATGTCCAATCATGATGAAACTTTGGAAAGTTGTAAAAAAACCAAAATTTGCCAATAAAAAACCATATTTTGTAATAATTGATTGTTTTTACATCAGTTAAGTTAGGTTATTCCAGCTAACAAATTTAATTTAACTTCGAGTAAGAAATTATACACTTATAAGGTTCACACTCCACTACAGGTGGATTGGTTACCTGATGATACACTGCTTTCTAACCTTACTTAGGATTCAGATATATAAGTTTTAATCAAAAAAAATTGAGTTTTATTTGAATGCCATTAAAAAATTGATTTAATAAAATAAACATGTATTCTAACCTATTATAAATATATTTAAATTGAACAAATACAATTCAAAATTATAACCACAGACCCAATTTGTTTTCTCAAAAAATTTTATAGTACAAAGGATTTATAAAAATATCAAAAATTAAATTCTCAGGTATTTTAAAACTGAAATGAAGGTTCAAATAATCATTTAATTTTGTAATGTTAGGTAAACTGTTATACTCTGTCCAGCGAGAGAATATTATCACTCTGCTCATCAGAATGTGACATCCAGCCATTGTGAAATCAGTTTCAATGGAAAAATATTGCGTCGAGATTCATAAATGTTTTTTTGTTGGACAGAATATAAATATCTTAATTGTAATTTGTATCAAGAAAATGTTTCAAGTCTAGTACAATAATACTACATGAATAGATAAATTTATCAGAACAAAGTTAATGTATAAAGCTTAATATTATGCTAATTCTTAGTATTTAAAGAATAAAAAATGTTTAGTAAAATGATACCATTGATAATCAAGACATTATTTATGTTCAGTTTCAACAACAACTATAGGAGGATAGACCACTCATAATTTCTCATTTTCATAGACTACCTAAAATATAAAAGAATAGTTATTTCGCTCAATAATTTATATTTAAAATTCTGATTAAGTTTGCAAATTAACCAAAACCATATTAATTAAAAACATCTATGTATGGATGTGCACACATTTTATAATTGTGTGCCTAGCTATAGCTAAATAGAGAGTTAAATAGGCTGCATGTACCTATCATAGTTATGAGTCTACAAATCTGTTCAAAACAATAGCTTTAGAACTGGACCAATGGCGAGAATATTAAATAATCTTTCACCACATTTTTTTATTAAAAACAAAGTAAAAACTAATTTTACAGAAAGTAGCCTTACCTATAACAAAGACAGCAGTTGATGTGGAATTTTCGTTTTCGTTCTAATTTATTTTAACCGATCAGATATATCATCGTGACTCCATTGAATGACGATTTAACTTGCAAGATGACGATCTACACGGTATAATATATTTTATTTTATTCCGTAATCCGTTCTCGGTGGTGTTCTTTGGTAATGGAAATACACAACAGGAACAATACGAAGTACATTAATTTTTTTAATAATTCACATTGGCAAAACCAACAAAACATTAGTCATGACAATTTTCAAAGTCACGCGTCGGTTTCGATGGAAAAAAATTTGAAACGTACAAATCAAAAAACGACACAAAGCGTGTGCAAAATTTCAAAAGTCAAAAACGCACACGCCACACGGCAGTCCATAAAATAGTATTGTAGTTAACCTTATTATTTTAACACACACATCATAACGATATTAGATATTTTTATTATAAACTTAATTCCTAAAGGTAAAAGGTAATAAGTATAATAAAAATATTCAATAATATACAAAATACAAATTATAATATTGCATTATAGTGCATTATTGCAATAACAAAAAACGAGGTACCGCCATTGGCTAATGGTATTTACTTTTTATTCTTTTTCGTTATTATTACTGCGGCACGATAGGTTCCCATGGGTTATCGCCTGTCGGATTGGTGGGGTAGACAGGATGGTTGGTGATGCGGCGCGCACTTTATAGTTGTTCATAGATCGCAACATCTTTGTCGACGCGGTTTCTTCCATGATTCATTCGGGGTTCACACAGTGTTATCAAATCAAGTAGAATCCATCATGGTTTTGTTGTTTTGTAGTGTTTACGTTTTTATTGATGCCAAAATTATGTATTTAATGCGATCCAAGATCAGTCTGACATAGGTTTGGCGGACTTTCGTATCGACCGTTGTGTTAGTGTTCGGCGAACGGTGCTCGCCATGTACTCGAAAGGCAAGGGGTCGTCGGTGCCGTCGGACGCACAGGCCAGAGAAAGGTTAGCGCTTTATGTTTACGAATACTTATTACACACAGGCGCCTCCAAAGCGGCGCAAACGTTCCTCAGCGAGATTCGCTGGGACAAAAACATCACATTAGGCGAGCCACCCGGGTTCCTCAGTTCTTGGTGGTGCGTATTTTGGGATCTATACTGCGCGGCGCCCGAACGCCGCGATAACTGCGAACATTCCAGCGAAGCCAAAACATTCCACGACTATGGTTTTGTTAATCCGACCAATTACAACCCCGGTGGCGTCAATGGCATTGGACACAACACTGGACCGTCTCCTGGACCAATGGGCCCGATGCCGCCCAACGATTCAATTCCTCCCGGACCCGGAATGCCGCCAAGCTTTTTCAACAATTCAAATATGAGACCGTCTCCCACTCATCCTGTATCACAATCGAGCCCTCATCCACCACCCAATGCTCCCCACAATCAAATGATGAATCAGCCTTTTATGGGTCCTAGGTATCCTGGTGGACCTCGGCCTGGTGTAAGAATGCCACCCCATATGCCTAATGATTTCAATAGCCCAAACCAACCTATGATGAATAATATGGATATTATGCGTCCTGGACCGCCAGTAATGAATCCAAGAATGAATCTATCACGAGGTGGCTATGGTCCTCCAATGCGAGGTATGCCTCCTGGTAATGTTATGGGCCCTGGCCCCGGCCCTGGAATGCATCCTGGTATGGGCATGGGTCCAGTCGGTCGACCACAATGGACACCAGGTAATCCAAATCATCCAATGGGCTATACATCTTCATCTCCTGGAAATTACCCACAAGGCCCCCCTGGTCCTGGTACACCGTTGATGGCGAGTCCTCAAGATTCAAACTCTGGTGGTGAAAACATGTATACAATGATGAAATCTGTACCTGGCGGTAGTATGCCTGGTGAATTTTCGATGGGAAATCCTGACTCTGCAGGACCACTAGGTCCAATGGGACCAAACTCAATGGGCCCTGTAATGAATGGTGATGGTATTGAAGGTATAAAACGATCTCCGCCTGACGGGCCAAGCACACCAAGAGATGATAGTGGTAGTGGTATGGGTGATTATAACCTAGGAGGATATGGTGGACCTGTGGACAACGATCAAAATGAATCTGCGGCAATATTGAAAATTAAAGAAAGTATGCAGGAAGAAGCAAAAAGGTTTGAAAAAGATTCTGACCATCCAGAGTATTACATACCATAATTAGTTGTGGGCATTTTAAAAGCAACTCATCATCTCTGGTATTTAGAAAAAATTCTTGCCAAAATGTATGTATATTTATATTATTAATTATTATTTATCACTTAAAGGTTTAAAGATTACTTAATATCATTGTAAATAGTTCCCAGCGTGTCATGTGAAAACGCTGTCAATATTATGCGCTTCTTGTATTTTGTTATTTCTTTTATAGTGTTTTAAGAATTTCTGTGGATCACCTTTACTCTTGTATGTTATATTTTAGATTATTGGAATTTAGATTAATAACTTATGTAACCAAAGGAGTATTTCATAAATATCCATTTTGGGCTTAAAGCTAATTACCATTATTGCAATGCAAGTTATTATAATTTGTCCCCTATGGAAGAATGGACATAATATTTATTTCAATACATATTTAATTTTTTGTATAAGTAAATACATTAACTTAAACCAAGCATAATATCTTTAATTACAAACAATTACCTAATAAAAATAGCATTTATAATCAACAATAGACATTAATGTAATATAAATAAAATTCATTATCTCCTTTAAATAATATATTAATTAAAAATTGCTAAATTTATAATTTGGTATATTTTGATCTTATTAAAATTATGTTTATTTTTTATAAGTTGATAAATATTAAGTATGGACTTACTTAATAGTTACAACTGTAATAAAGTTATTTTTATTTTATTTTATTTTTCCTGAGGAACTTAGTTATAGATACTGAAATTTTTTCAATATAAAAGAACTTTCAGTATAAACAATTTTATACAAAAATTTAGTGTTTTCGTGCTAGTTTTACAATAAATGGCCAGTGATGAGTTAAATTTATTTTTATCAAATATTGATATTTGTTTTGTGATGACATGTGCTTAAACCTTGCGTGATGTCTCCCTAACCTTAAGTATACCTAAAAAATTATAAGATAATTAATAATCTCTAATTTGTAAAACAACTTTAAAATATCCTTGAAATTGTTGGTTGGGATACCAGTTCATTTAAACAATTAGAGGGTTATATTTATATTTATTATGCCCATTATTTTAATTAAACTAATTACAAACTTTATTTATTTTTGTTTGAACTGTATTTATAAGACGGGGGAATGAGAAAGATGTAAGATGATTCTCTTATAGACTCATCACATTATCCTAGAGTGTACCATAAATTTATATTGTATATTAATTTTAACATTTAATCTATTTTTAAACCATTTTCATCTTTGTGTATCTATGTTGCTGACTTAGTGAGAGGACAACTTAAAATTTGTTGTTAACTTGCATGAACATTTTTTTTTTTTTGAGAATTATGTAAAACGCTCTACTGCGTTCTGATATTGTTCTTATTTAGTGTTATAAAATATTATTCTTAATGTTTTTTCTACATAGTGTGACTATATTCTCCCAACCAAACCCTGTCCATAAATATTTTCTTCATAAAGCTTGATGCAATTTATTAATTAATTTTTTTTTTTAATTAGTTAAGGTAATATCTAAGTATTCAATATTTGTATAGTATTAAAAGTAGTCTAGACATTATTATTTATTATACTGATATAAAAATAAAATATATAGTTTGGCTCAAATGTTTAAAGCGCTTTAAATATATGCGCAGATAATTTTGAATTATTATTAAGTACAATTCATGCTTTAATTATGACTTCCATCTTAAATGAACAATTCTATCTACATTTATTTTACATTCTTTTTCATGTGCATTCATCACTATTTTAATACTTCTAGTTTTTTGTACCTCATTTGTTCTTTTCTTTTCTCCATTTTAAATTTAGTAATTTTCCACACTTTTTTTAAGATTCTTTTGAAACAAACTAAATTATTTCAAACATTAATCAGAATTTTTATTCATCTGTTAATAAATCTAATTTGGTGTCAACATTTAATGTCAAGTATTGTAAAGTAAATCAAAAAATTAAATATGGTTATTTAAAATTGTATTGTTAATTTTCAAAAACCTCAATAGCATATATTATTATGTATGGTCTTATATCAATATTATAAATAGACAAAATATTGTCAAATGTGAGGATCTATATTGCTTTATTGTATATAATATTGATGTGTACATATAGGCTGTGGATAAAAAATAATATTTAGACAATTATTAAAAACAAATTGAAAGCAATCTACTTATTGTTAATCATACAAACCTATTTAAATTTTAAGGTAATCTAGAAAAATAAATACATTTATAATATATATTATTGATAAGTCCGTAATAATTCTTTCCATTTTTCATTTTTATCCCCTTGATCAATCTAGTCTTTTTGCCTTTATCTTCTTTATATTATTTTAAAATGAAAAATAAAGAAAAGAAGTATATGATATACATACACATATTATACATTAAGTCAATTAAGTATAAAATTATTGTTATGATAACAAACATTTATTTATCTTAATTTCTTTAAAAGATTGTTTATTGACATTTAGGTCCTATTATTTTCCTTATTATAATAAAATTTAATTCTAATAAATATATATAATATAATATATTATATAGTTTACAAAAAAAATCATTGTCTTTATCTTATTGATCCTTTTATAATTGAGAAACAAATAGGTACTTCAACATCAATACATTTGCCACCAGGAAAATAAATTGAAAAACTAGTACTGAATTTATTCAAAAATTGAATCATCTAATTCAAAAATGGGCAACTCAAAATTACTAGAGAGCCAATTTTAGAAGATTAAACGGGCCAGAACATAAAAAGCAAAAAAAAATGTCATTCAAAATATGCGTCTTAAATAGCATTTATTTTATTTATAATGTGAATTTTTAACTTTAAAATTGTATCATGCAATTTGAAAATATAGCATGAGCCAAATAAAGAAGGCTCATGTACCACCAGTTGCCCACCCCTGATATAACTAAAAATAGTTATAAATTCAAATAAATTGGTACTTCTTGTAATTATCTTATAGAAATATTTATTAAAAAATACCATGTTGTACCATCTAACAAAGGTCAAAAGACTAATTTTATGATTAATAAACAACTGTCAAATATAACTTATCTAAGTGATAAGTGTTCTTCAAACAATAAAATGTTTGGGGTATATGATTACCTAACAACTTGTGCATCCTTAACAGTGAAATTATGGAGTGATAATTAAAAAGTTCTAATGGTTTATATGTTTATATTTAATAGAATAGAAGGTAATAATTAAAAATAATTATAAATTTTCAATTTTATAATGAATACCATACAAAATATTTTCAAGGCCAAATTGAATAATGTATTTGGGATGATTCATGTTAAACCATTACCAGGTAAGAGTGTTTAAGCTATAAGTATAACAACTTATTATTAACAATTAACTACTTAAATATTTCATTATTACTGGATATAAATTGATTTCTATGTTTTAAATTATTGATAATGATACTCAGGTACACCGTTGTATGGTAGAAGTATAAAACAAATAATATATACTGCCTGCAAAGAGGCTGAAATATATATGAAATGTGGAGTAGTAAGCATTCAACAGTGATGCTTTTTACAGCGCCCAATTTAATTATTATAACTATAAATTATAGGATGGTATTGTTGTTGAAAACATGCATGATATACCTTATGTACCTGCTAAAGAAATAGGTCCAGAAATTGTGTCATCAATGACTAGAATTTGTACATCAGTTAGACAATTGGTACCTGAAGATTTACCTTGTGGTCTACAAGTGGGTTGGAAATTAGAATTATTGTTGTACAGTATTTACTAATTTGTCAATGACAACTTTAGATATTGGCTGCAGCCAATGAAGAAGCAATCGCTGTTGCACATGCAACAGACTTCCAGTTTATTAGGGCTGAAGGTTTTGTTTTCGGCCATGTTGCTGATGAAGGTTACATGGATGCATGTGCTGGTAAGTTATTGAGATATCGCAAATCAATAGGAGCACAAGATGTGTGTATATTTACAGATATAAAAAAAAAACACAGGTAATTTCTTTGAATACAGTAAACTATTATATTTATTTAATCACATTAAATCTGCAAGTTGTATAAGATTAAGGACTATTGGCCAAGAAAAAATAAATTTTTTTTATCGTTACTCATAGTTCACATGCTATCACTCAAGATGTAAGTTTAATCGAAACTGCTAAAGCAGCAGAATTTTTTCTAACTGATGGAATTATAGTAACTGGAACTGCTACAGGACAACCTGCCGAACTACAGGACGTAGTTGGTATATAATAATCATTTATTTAATTTTATACATGAACATTATGCACCATTATATGTTATCTATCATTATAGAAGTGAAAAAGTCTGTTAATGTTCCTGTACTTGTTGGATCTGGCGTAACTGTTAACAATGTACACGAGTACAGAGGTGCAGATGGATTCATAATTGGATCTCATTTCAAGAAATGTGGCATGTATGAATATTTTTTATATGCCTATACTTATTAATAAGCCTACAAAAACAATAACTGGAATTTTTGTTTATAGATGGCAAAATGAACTTGATGAAAATGTTATTCTAGAATTTATGAACCGCCTAAAATCTAATTGAAATAAAGAAACTCAATTGGTTCATTACTGAATGTAAGTTGTCGTATACTTGATTTCATACAGAAAAATCAACAAACAAAAGCCATTTACATAATGCGATCTTCATTTTTATAGTATGACATATAAGTATTGTACTTAAAAGTTAACTAATAATTAGTTACATATTTCCAATAAAAATAAATTAAATATTAAAAATAATTATTTACTTACAATACAAACTAATATAAATGTGAAAAATACCCTAACTTGAAAATAATATTTACATTACAATTTGTACTTTTAAGTAATATATATTACATTAGGAAGTATTACCTACCACACATGATATCAAAAATTATTAGTTAATTGTTACAAGCTACATCTAAACAAAAATGGAAAACATAACTGAGATCTCAAATGGATGGAGCATAAAAAAAATATAAGTTAAAAAAAAATTGTTTATGATTTTCTATACTGAATTTCTTCCCACTAATTTTTTTAATGTTGATCCAAAACTGAAAACAAGATTTCTTGCTGAAGCCATGTATGACATATTTTGATTTGATTTAACAATTGTTGTATCCTACATAAGACAAATTAATAAATAATAAGACATTAGTATACTATTACTGTCTACAAAAGTACAAAATATTACAATTAAAAAAAAAAGTTTTAATATTAAAACATTACTTTAAGACTGTTCAATGATTTCATCTTTTTAGTTGGACTTGAATAACAATTGTCATCACTTTTGTTTGTATTATCTTCCTTTTTTCTTTTGACCAATTTCAAAGGCCCGCATCTTTTCACTGGCATCAAAGAGTTGGCTTTGCACTAAAATATTATCATTTTTAAAAAAATATAATTAATTATAAATAATGCCTATCAATAACATACTTTTTCAATAGATTGTTGCAACATTTCTACCCAAGAACATGTAGCATGAGGTGCATCCATTGTATAAAATACAAATTCCACAGACTGACAATTTATTGAAAACAATCCTCTTTTATACATGACAGATTTGGCTTCACACTTATTAAGTGGCAATACTCTGAGACAAACCAACTTTTCTGGGTCCACCCATTCTTTACAATACAGTATCATGTCACTAAGCAATATTAAATAGCGGGGAATAGATGTACTGCCTTCAGGTGATACTTTCATTAGAGGACCTTCTTTAATTAATTTACGGCCTGGTAGTACTATGTTAACTTTGCCACAACCTGAAAGACTACGTTGAATGCTTACTAATCTGGACATGTTTTCTTGTTCTTGAACTAAGTTGTTGATATGGTCTGCGACTTTACTAATTTGTTCTACAGCAGCTTTATACAAAAAATATTACATTACAATAAAACAACAATATTCAATTATAAATTTTATAAAATAGAGTAAACCTTTCTATTAATGTAATTACATACCTTTAATGTCATTATAGCCTTGATGTTCAATAGGAGTGTAATTCTGGAGTTCGCGTAAAAGCATTAAATAACGAGGTATTCTTTGAATGGGAGTTATCAAAAGTGAATTTAATTTAGCTGATACTTCTGGCCTTGATTCTTGTGTACATACAAAACGATAGAGTTTTGGATGAGATTTTGGTAAATCCTAAAAGTACAAACAATTAGGTTTTCAAATCAACTAAACAATAATAGAAATAATTTTTACTTGAAGTGTATCCAATACATTCTTATAATTGAACGCGTAAACTGAATAAAGTTTGAGAAAAGGGGCAGTGTTCAAGAAAACTTGTCCAATATTTTCTTTAGTTGGATGCAATTGAACCAAAAGTTCTTTATTCACATTCAGTATTGTCTCAACATTACCAAACAATTTACTGATGACTTGACTAGAGGCAAGTTTTTGTTCTTCTATTGGACGTTTAAAAAACTATAGCCAGAAAATTAAATATTAAATTTAAACAATGTACAGGAATAAATGACAAGCGCGATACTCTCGAACAGTACTTACTGTGATCAATTTATCTAACTGGTGAATATAATTTGTTTCAGAAACGTATATCTCTTGAATAGATCGGATTCTCAACTTTGCGATGCGTTTTTCATTGTCATCACAAATATGTTGGTCTAGGTCTCGCAATACTGTTATACAACAACAAAACAATTAGCGAGCATGCAATTAATGGAAGTTTTAAAATAATTTTGTTTTTACCTTTTTGTTTGGTTTTGGCAGAAAGTATGTTTTGTTGATCCAATACTCCGCGCAATTCTTTGACAAAATGATTCGGCGGCGTCATAGGCACAAAGGAATTCATTTCATTCATTTTTTAAGCAATCAAATCAAATCAGTCGAACACGATAGGTACCCAGAAACGGATCAAAATAACTGAGTTGTCAATAGACTAAAGCAATTCTTTTCTTTGTAGATTTAAGATTAAACTTGCGTATGGCGACTATTATAGGAGTTAGGACAAACTATTGGATATTATTATTGTAGCGGAATACCTGGAAAACGGGAGAAATCAGCTTCAGCTACATATAATCATCAATCCGCAATATCTGCATTCGAATTAATTACGATTTACGTCGTTTTTCGGAAAACGTAAAAAAAGTACGTTACGACCATTACAGTATGACCATATTGACGAAGTTATAGTCGCCGATTAGAACACAGCGCTGGTAGCTTCGTAAAAAATTCTGAAGATCACAGAAAACAATAGAATTGTCTTCACCTGTCGATCCATTATCGTTTCTCCCGAAATTATCTTGTAAGTTTCATTTATTATTCGTCAATTCGCCTTGTTACGAATCGTAAAATAATAATTAATAATGATATTTACGACTGAAAAATCATAAAATGGAAATCATTCTACGACCAATATCGATTTGCCTCACTGATTTTTAATTATTAAATTTCTTTCCGTTTTCAGTGTATGCACTGTGTATTGCCAGATAAGTTCATTCCTGTAGAGTGAATTGAGAATTCCGGGATTGGACAACAGTTTTTAAAAATAACCGTCGTCGGTCGAAGAATTTTTGTTTTTTTTTTTTTATCTATTCATTATTTTGTTTTTGAGTATTTTCTATTTCCATTTCCATTATTATTTATTTCCAATTTCTTTAGTTCTATAGATCTATAGACTGTACTTGTGTATTAGTCGTGTAATTTGTAGTCGTAGTGTAGAGTGTAGACTATAGACGTGTATGTATCAATAATCGGTATAATAATATGTACTCCTATTGATTTCCTGAAATCATATTTCAATAGTGTTTTACAATATTTCATATCTTCCATCTCGTTTGTTTTTAGTTTTTTACGACTCCTCCAATCGACGTAGTTTTCCAGCTCCTTGAGACGACCATTGCTCTCTGTCATTGAAAATTTTCCGTCTATTTTCCAATTATCCTTTTCCCTCATTTGTTAACCATGAGTAATTTCGCGCTCAAGTCGAAAGAAAACCGAGTACAGAGACCGCGACCACCTCAAGTAACCACCGTTACATCAAACACGTCGTCTGCATCTTGTCGCTCAGTGGGTTTCGGGACGACCACAACCACCACTACAACTGCAAAACCAAGTGGTGCACAATACCGCCGATCAGTGTCTACAGCTATTGGCAAGACACCAGATCTATTAAATCCGCCAAAGTTTGGTGGTCAACAGTTGTCCAATCGCAGTTGCAAGCCAGACATCACTAAGAATCTGCCTGCCAAAACCATACCAAAACCACCATCACAGCCATGTCAACCTGCTGCTCAGACAAAGTGAGATATTTAATGAATATGAATGATTATGTTTTAGACATATAACGGTGACATAGTGGTAATTTGGGGAAAGATTAATGAATTTAAAATGCCATGTTGTACAATATAATTGCATGTCCTTGAGTATTGTACTAAATACAGTGTATTTACCATATAATATTTCCAATCGATTAATCTATGTAATGCACTTTAGTTTGTACCTAACTCAAAACTACAAACATATACAAATTTGTTAATGTAACAAAATTATAATTCCAGAAATGTATCTATTAAACTAAAATAATATTAACCTACTTACTTTAATTTAAATTTTTTGTTGACTTGGTTATGTTAACTGTGATGATTTATAAAATAATATTATATATCTTTAGGCTATAGGAAGTTACATATTTAGTAATAATTTTAAAAAAGTCGTATTCTATCACTGGATGGTTTCACTCAGGACTCCTTATATTAGGTATACTCATTTTTATTTTACCTCTATTATTATCGAAGCATTGTCTTAATTGTTATATGTGCTTAGCATAGATTTTAAATATTCTTTCCTTAAATAAAAAGTACTTACTGTTACTTTCAGCTATGAAAATAGTATAGTTTTTGGTTTAACCTTTAACTAGGGCCAAATATTTTGGAAGAATATTGCCACATCACTTAAAATAACTACTAGTTGTAACATCCTACAACTTAATCTTTTGATGTACAAAACAGAATAGGTTAATTAATTAACACAAATTTATTTTTATTTTTTATTTGGCTCCAGAAACTATGGCCATTATCACTGGATATTTGTTATGATAGGCTACGGTATAGTAGGTTATGGAACACATGACGTACTTATATGTGAAACATAGTTTTGTCATTAAAAAACGAGGATGGTTATCCATCCAAGAGCTAGTAATGCTAGACAGTACTTAACCATAACAATAACATCATAAAGTGACTACATCCAAACACTACACCATGCCATTTCCCAATACATAATAAGAATTATAATTTGATACTAATTTATTTAAAAATAGATTTTATCAGTCATTTTAACATGATTATTATTTTATCATTTATCACAACAATATTATTTTTCTTCTAAAAATGTTGACATAAATTATTGACAAAAGGCAATCTCAAAACATTTTTTTAGGATACTAATGATATATGACAATGATATTATACAATTTTTATACCTCAAAGTTGTGTTTTTTTTTTAATTTTAAAGGTTGAGTGATAAATAATAATTAATAATATTAATATACAGATATTTTCCTTTATTTAATTAATAATTTTAAAATTCCCTCATTAATAATTCTTTTTATAGATTTTTAAAATTTAATTTTATCGTTATAATTAAATAACAATAATATCTAGTTCACAGAAATATTTGTTTGGATTAAAATATTTTATGATTAGATTAATTATTAACCATAAAATATTTTCTATTTTAATGTACTACAATTAATAAGTATTAAGTTGAAGTAAAACAGTTTGTTCTTCATTCCTTGCTATAATTGTTTTTAACCCTTAGAGATTTTTGAAAACTTAAGACGTTAAATGTGTTAGTACTTACACTTTTATAATTATTTCACTAAATTTAATTTTTAATTTTTATACTAACTTTATCTTATGTAATAGTTACTAAAATGAGTGGATATTCATTTTTTTTTTTTTTAAAGTATGCTACTTTTTTTTCAGGGTTCCTTCCAAAGAAGTATTTAAAGTTCCAACTGTTGCCAATATACCTAAAAAAGCTACACAAGTAGCCAAACCACCTACAACAGTTAATCAACTCCAGAATAATATGAAAGCAGCCAGTCTAGATGAAAAACCTTCTACTGATCAAGAAAATAATAAAAATATGGGTCTATCAAATAAAAAAGACGAGTAAGTTTATATCATAGCAGATAATTTAATTTTTAAAGAAAATTATCAATTATAGTGTGCTTTAATTAAAATAGAATGAAATGGACTTTGGATAATTTTGATATTGGAAAAGCATTGGGGAAAGGAAAATTTGGAAATGTGTATCTTGCCAGAGAAAAGAGCTCTGGGTTTATTGTTGCTCTTAAAGTTTTATTTAAAACGCAAATATTAAAAGCAAATGTTGAGCATCAGCTTAAGAGAGAAATTGAAATTCAAACTCATTTAAGGTAAATACTAAAACACTTTAAAAAAAACCTGAAGTAAGTTAAATTGATTTTTTTTTTTTAGACACCCTAATATTGTACGCATGTTTGGATATTTCCATGATGATGCTAGAGTATATATGATCCTAGAATATGCACCCAAACAACTTTATAAAGAATTACAAGCTCAAGAAAATCAACGTTTCTCTGAAGTCAAGTAAATTATACAAATAATATATCAATAAATATATAATCAATTTCCTCCAACTTTAAAATAGTTTATCAATACGTGTTATAAATATTAATATAAAAATGTTTAATTTGTAATATAAATTATAATTGAGAAAAAAAAATGTCTAGTTGTTTTGTTAAATTAAACATTTAAAATATTATTGATTTAAATAATTCTTAAGGTCTATTTAGCTATAATTTATTTTATTGAAACAATAAAATTAGATGTATTCTACTTTTGTGTTAAATAGGGCAGCATTGTATATTAAACAATTAACAGAAGCATTGATTTATTGTCATGATAAAAATATTATACATCGTGATATAAAACCAGAGAATCTTTTACTTACTAAAGGAGGTGACTTGAAGATAGCTGATTTCGGGTGGTCTGTACATACACGTGATTCCAAGTAATTTTCAAAAAAAAAAAAAAAAATACTTTAAGTTAAATATTTACACCTATAATTATTATACAAATTAATTATTTTTATTTTTCAGACGTATGACATTATGTGGAACCTTAGATTATTTACCACCAGAAATGGTTAGCGGTAGCTCTCATGACAAATCTGTCGATGTATGGAGTGTAGGTGTCCTATTATACGAGATTTTAGTTGGTAAACCACCCTTTGAAGCTCCAACATATGAAGAAACATATAAAAGAATATTAAATGCTCAATATATTTTCCCTCAACATGTTGCTCCACTTGCTAGAGATCTCATTTCACGTGTAAGTAATTTTTAATCCACATATTTTAATAAATAATAATTTAATTTTCTCTCGTTTAGTTATTAAGAGTAAGACCAGAGGCTCGTTTACCTCTCCAAGAGCTGTTATTACATGACTGGATAAAAATACACACAAATCTCTAAAAGTAACAAACATTTTAAGATTTCAATTTTATGAAATCTGATTTTTTTTATGTATAACTATTAAAAAAATTGAATTAGACTTTTTTTATAAATTAAATTTCTCTATTTTACTTGTGATAGTGTCAATTTGATAAAGTGTAAAAAATAAAATAATTGTATTATCAATTAATTATTGACTTAATAATATTAATAATAACAGTTATTTGTATATAAAACTATTTTTCATATTTTAAAAGCTCATAAGTCTTACTTAGGTAGTTTTATTATATTTTTAAAAATGAATTGTGTCATATATTTTATATGCACTATTATATTACTCTACACTTTTGTTAAATATGTACTACGTTAAGTAAAATTTTGGAATAGTTTTTTATATATTAATGCAAGTATAAAAAAAAAATATTTTCATTTATAATAATTTTTTATGTATAAGTGAAATTGATTTGTTTCCTTTCTATGTAAAAAAAAAGTCCACACTAAACTGTGATTTATATATACTTAATAAATTCCATTCGATTGGATATTTGTTTAATATAAAAAAAAAAAAAAAACTAGTTTTAATGTGTACATACAAATAAGTAATAGTATATTATTTTTGACATTATGTTTAGCTTTCAACATGTTGTAAATCAAAATATTTTTATAATGAAAGCAAATAAAATAAATACTTGATTATGTTTTTTTTTTATGTTTTATTTCATAAAAATCATAACTTAAATAAATAATCATTACATAATGTAGGTATTTTTTAGTATATCCTTGTTTGGTTGAAATGATCAAACTCATACTTTCCATTTTCTGTTCACATAACCAGACTTATGCTTTAGGGAAGAAATTTATCTAAATAGTAAGTATATAAATTGTAAATATAAGTACATGTCATAAACAATATATAATTTTTCAAAATTTAAAATTAAAGAATCTCACTTTTTCTCCATTTTTAACGAAACAGTTTCTGATCGCTTTTCCAGCTGCGCATTTTTCGGCGGTTTTCGGATCGATAATAACTGTAAGAATAATAAAATAAAAATCACTCGATTATCATCAAAATAAATTTATGTAATTTCATGTTTATCCGACTCTCACGACTTCAATTAATTGTCACAATTTCGAACCTACCTTCTTTTTCACAAGTCTCTATTATTGTCACCGCCTTCTTGTGTTCTTCTGGTTGATTAGCGAAACGTATTTTAGCCATCGCCTTACCATCGTCCACACTGAACTTGTTATTCTTTAGCAAGTTTAGATTTTTATATACGCACTCTAAGTAGCACCTTTGCTGTTCATTCTGTGGTACTACTGTGTTGCTAACCAATGCCATGATTTCCTGAGGTGCATGCAACTCATCTTTACACTTTACCGCGATTGTGTTCAACTTCTGTTTAAGAGCTACATGTCCTTCAGTCATCTGTGTAAACGAATAAAATGTATGAATAAATAGAATATCATATAAGATCAAATGGCAGACAAAAATATAAACTGTTTTAGGTATGTACCTATAATTTTCTATGCTAAATGATTAGAAAGTTATACTGATATAAACTATAAATAGATACTATTCATTTTAATAGCTTACATCCCGTAGTTGAAAACCTAAAACAATTATAAGCCACCTTTTACCCCAATTAATTTTGAAGAATTGTGAAACTTCATTAATAGAAAAATTCATTATACTTAACTTCCTTAAAAAAAATTTTAAAAACATTTGTTTAGTTTATATTTAAGAAATTCCGTCTATTAAAACATTTTACAATTTATAACTTTATTTTTAAAATTATAATTCTTTTGTATAATGCATTCAATTCGAGTCCTAATTATCACTTATATAGCCCTTTAAATGATGATTGACCGTGGCTTTCTGAATTACGTATATTTGCAGCGCATGTTTTAACTTGACGTTTTTTAATATTTTAATACAAGATAGCTATTACCAGAGGTGGATTTCCCATTAGGCACTATAGACAGCTGCTCAGAGGGCAGCAAATTTTGTAATGTTTTATTAAAAAACATCAAACTTATAAAAAAAAAAAAAATGAAAAATTTTATATTTACGAAAAATAATTAATAATGTGCATATTAGTTTTATATTTTATATTTTTCTAAATCGTATATGGTATACGGTTGTGGTAACTTGTTCAGTTGTCACCTATTATAGGGGCGCCACATTTTTAGTGCCTAAAACTGTCAAAAAGATAAATCCTCCTTTGGCTATTACCATTGACTTAATTTTATACACAGTACCAGGTTTAAAGGGAAGTTCGATATACTGGAGCCTTAAGACTGAGTTTATTTTAACACTTGAGGGTGTTAAGCTGATGTCCTGGATTTAAAGTGATCAATTATCATGAATTATATTGAAAAAATATAGTAAAAAAAAAAAAAAGTGCCTTATTTTATGAAATTATACGCACCCGTTTATTTGAAATTTTTATGAACTTTTTCCAACTATAATGATTTGATTTAAAGAAATACATTACATTAACTATGAGGTGTACCTAGTTGAAACGTTTTCTTTTTTAAATCTACCTTTAATATTTATCAAATATCTATTAAAAGAATAGGTATATATAATTAAGGGTCTAGGACATATTGGCACTGACTATTTCGGCACGGCGTTATTTTTTAAACAAAGAATACTACTATTACTATAACTATTATGAAAAATAACCGTAATAAAATCGTCAAAAGTACAAATCAGTTATTAGTTAAATATAGCTGTTATCGTGTAACGTAAAAACCGTCTATGTATTGGTAAGATAAAGGTAAATATCTATTGCACTTAATATAAACCGATGAATGTGTAAATGTGTAATGTATCAACTGTAAAGCAATCGGTGTAATCCAGTCTAATAGTTGATCTGTCATAATTTTCGTACAAAAATTTTGAATTAAAATGTCTAAGTTACTATGAAATCGCGGACGTGAAATTTTACCAAAAGACGGTTTCATGTATATTTTTGATAAATTTAATTATAATCATACAAAGCGATTTTGGAGGTGTCGCAATAAAGATATATGTAATTGTCGAATTCATACCGGAATCGATGATTATATTATTAAAAAAAAAAAAAAATAATGACCACACGTATGATACGGAGGCGGCTAAAATTGAAATAGAGGCTGTAATTACAAAAATAAAGACACGTGCACTTCAAACAATGGAGCCTACATCAGTTGTAATAAACAAATGTGTTGGACTTTTATCGGAAGCAGCTAAAGTAAGTACAAATTTCAGACAGCTTTTTATTTTTATAAGGCCCGTTAATTTAAATTTAGGAACAATAATAATCCGACGAGCGCGGATCCCGGTTCGAGTCTCTCTAGTCCAAACAAATATTTTTTTAATTAAATTATTTAAAAAAATATTTTTTGTTATTTGCATTCAGGCCACTTTTTCAAATAATTCAACATTGAAAAAACCGGTTCGTCGAAAACGTCAAGAAATCCAAATGGCACCACATAATCCAATTGACCTAACTATACTAGACATCCCATCCGCTTATACTATGTATTCTCCATCAAACGGCAATGAGGAAAAATTTTTACAAAGTGATAAAGGTCCGGGTCCTAATAGAATTTTTGCTCGATTTAGGAGTCTTGATATTTTGGAGAATTCGAACACTTGGTACATGGATGGCATATTTAAAGTTGCACCTCCATTATTTAATCAAGTTTATGTAATATTAGCGGAATATTTACACGGTATTCTGCCTATGGTATATATTTTACTCCCTGATAAACAATCAGTGACATTTGATAATATGTTTTTAACGTTAAAAAATTTAAGACCGGCTATAAAACCTAAATCAATTTCATGCAATTTCGAACAAGCTGCCATAAAATCAATAAAAAAATCATTTCCTGTTGTTAAATTATACATAATTATATATTTATTATTTTGAAAATTCTATATTGATGTACCTGCGGCGCTAAGATATCACCGCGCCGAAATAGCCTGCGCCGGTATGTCTTTGTGCCGAAACAGGTGAGCCAAAACGGCGATTCCAAAAAAGAGGTGCCGAAATGTCCGATTCCCTATAATTAATGTTTCGATTTATTTATAGTAATATTGTTTTTGAGGGGCCTCCAAAGTTAATAATTACACGCCGGCCTACGCATAGTGTTGAATCTTATCTTAGTAGCCACTTAGTATTGATTAACTACCTACTGAATTACATTAAATGTCAGTGCAAAGAGTCAAAACAAATCGCGTGCTATCGTTAATAGCAAATTATCTTTTAAAAAGATTGGGTTGATTAGGATTTAATTTAGATAATAATTTGTAGCGGTTTATACTGTTGGCTTAGGTGTGGTGGCGTTTCCGGGTGCCCCGGAAGAAGACTTTACAACGGTTGGCCGCTCCGTGCCGTTGACAAACGCTCCGCTGGCTGTCGTGGCCGTGGCATTAGCTCCGGACTTGGCAGCGATTGAACTGTGCGCATGGTCCTTGGCGTACGTGGTTTGTTGATGGCTTGTTGGCGTAGACGATGACTGCACCGGCAGGCGAGTGGGAGTCACGGTCGTCGGTGGTTTCGTCGTTCCGCTCTTGTAGCAAGTGGATATATTACACGGGTCCGAGCTCTAAAGATGGAAAAAGGTGAAATGTTAATTTACTATTTCGTTACTGTAAACATTTATATACCAATGGTTTTCAACCTAATTAGACTTGCTATCAATTTTAAATAATTAAATGTTTAAAAACCCGTTGAGTAGATAACCACTGTGTTGTACAGTATGCACTTTAATGGATATGTCAAAAGATAAACAAATAATATTCTCAGATCCCATCATCCCCCCCTCATCATAACCAATTATTTTTAAAAAATACTCAGAATTTTCAATTTTAATTTCAAAAAAGTACCAATTAAATCTAATTCACTACTAAAATTCGTACTTGAAGATGATAATCAAATTTTCTAAGAAAGTTCTTTAATATAACTTATAAAATTATGAATAGGTAGGTACAGCGGAAAACGATAGTCCTTAAAACTTTTTGCGTAGAACCGCATCCCACCCAATTTTTGAGCCTCTTTTTAAACATTTTAATTAAATACTAAACTTGAGACCCAATAAACTGCTTGAATATTCATTATTGAGCCTAAAATATTACACGAAAAATCTATCTGTGTATATGTTACGGGCAAAAGCCGAAATCGGGCAAACCTCAGAAATGCCCGGACAAAACGCGAATTGCCCACAATCCTTGGGCAAAATGTCATATTTCGGCTTTTGACTGGGCAAACCTAGTTATGACCAACATCATTTGGGCAAAACCGCCAAAACCATATACTGACTTTTATCGTAAGGACAAAACCGTAGAGTTTTAAATACGTTCGCTAATATTATAAACAAATTTAATAATTATAAAATAAGTATTATTGTACAAGTATAATTAAATAAACTTAATTAATATATTTAAACCTCACTTGAGTCTAACTGTAGCGTTTTAAATTGTGTGTAGTTCTAATATGTGTAGCAACAAATAAACAAAAATATTATTTTTTTATTATTATATTCAATTATATCTGTACAATATTTTTTATTAATTATTTATTTTAACATTATAGAGAACCTAATATTATTATATGTTTATTTTTATACGAGTACTTAATATCATTATATTTTTATTATTATTTAAGTGTATTTAATTATATCTGTACAATATTTTATGATTATTATTTTTTTGTATTTAATATTAGTGGTTATTTAAAACGCTACAGTTTGACTCAAGTGAGGTTTAAATAAATTAATTTTATATATTTGTACAATAATACTTATTTTATAATTATTAAATTTGTTTATAATATTAGGGAACGTATTTAAAATTCTACGGTTTTGTCCTTACGATGAAAGTCAGTATATGGTTTTGGCGGTTTTGACCAAATGATGTTGGTCATAACTAGGTTTGCCCGGTCAAAAGCCGAAATATGACATTTTGCCCAAGGATTGTGGGCAATTCGCGTTTTGCACGGGCATTTCTGAGGTTTGCCCGATTTCGGCTTTTGCCCGTAACAGATATATTATAATATTATAAGATTATACTTTATGTGTATTATGAAATGCCTAATGATGTGTTTGTAAACCTTCATTGTCTGACGGTAGGTAATAACCTTTAGGTTGAAACTTGACTAATAGAGTCATTTATGATTTGTACAAATATCAAAATAAATTATAATATATAACAATATAACTATGTATACAATAAAATCCTGATAAATATGAAACAGTATTAAAAAGTTAATATTCGAATGTATACGCTTAATGGCGTAGGACCTACCTAACTAAAATGTTGGCGTACTGTTAAAAAAAATTGGAAATTTAAAAGTATTCATTAATTTTTTTTTTTTTTTTTTGACACATGAATATATTTACTCGAAACTCTTTGACCCATATTATAGACCTATAAATATTTCAGTTTTTTTAAAAAGCGCCCCGAACTTTGAACTCTAATAGATGCCCGACAGAAAAGCTACATGAAAATATGAGTTCGGAAACTCTGCAGGTATCCATATAAATATAATCTATATTTAAAGACCTACCTATACCTAAATGGCTATTGAGTAGTAATTAATAACCAACTGTCCCGCTGTTAACGTTATATTGTGTATGCGAACATGCGGTATTAAATGGCTTTACCTGCACGGTGGCGACCAGAGCAACCAGGACGGCGGTCGCTGCAGATACCTTCATAATGTCGACGAATGTACCAAGTACACACGATTATGCTGCAAGAGCTGATCTCGCACGATGATTTTTGATATCGCAATGTGCCGTGTATTAAATGATATAAAGGCTGCCCACGGGTGTGTCCTTATGTACAATAATTTACAACACGACACAACGGTAATATTGATTTCTGTGGTCTTCAAGCTGCAGTATAATGTCACCTCGTACGGCGATCGACGCGTTGATTCGACTGACGCCCGGCCGCGGTACCCGAGATCTTTTATACATGCCGAATGCCTTTGTCGCGGTGTTATGATTATGACCTCTGTGCACATTAAATAGCAATGAAATGCAATATCTCTGCGGAGACCAAATTGACGCGAGGACATTGATTTTTTTTTTCCATTTTCCCCCCGAACGCGCTTTACATAAGTGACGCGTCCTGTTTGTGCGGTGCACGTGAGAATTAAAGAATTAAATTGGCGCACCGCATATACATATACTCGGCGGTTCCTGAACAATAATAATAATAATCGTAATTTCAATTGGGGAACAAACACCGCATAAATCCGCGACGGCAATACAAAATTGCGTGTATATCATTTAACGGAGTCATGTGCGTTATAATAATATGTGTATATTGTTGTTATTGTTATTATGTATATTACACACATTTATATATATATATATCTACGTGCGTAAACATAGACGATCCAGACTCATCGCCCCGAAAGATTCGAAATACATTTCCGTGTTTTATTTTTATTTTTTTTTAAGTGAGCAATAATAATAAAGGCATATAATTTATGTACATATATAAATTATGAATACATTTATTTATATACATTTCGACAATTGAATTATAGAAGACTACCGTATATATTAATATTATTCCTGCAGGAATAATGCAAACAACTAACATATAGACATATCAAAATAGGTACATTTACATTATATGTCGTATTCAAAAATATTCGTCTGACATTAAAATTGATTAATCGTCTTGAAATCTACGGCATTTACGGATGTTTGCAACGGGAGGGACAAGAGAAATTGCGTATGAATTGGTGCAATATTATTTATATACATATATATACCATATACGACAATCTAAGGAAATACATAATAATAATATTATATAATGTGCGTATTATTATGTACGTTGGGTATAATAGTTCAATTATATATATGCTGTCGTTTATGATTTTCTTTATCAATTTCCCATTTATACAAAGGAGTATTCACTTTGGGATAAGGGAGGATTAGGCAGCCGGGTTTAAACTTCACAAGAAATTAAATGGTCTATAAGTTATTTAGGTGTGTATACTTAAAAGTTAATTCAAAAATGTATTTAAGTTGGTAGGCGCCTATATAATATATATATACACAATAATAATATGATCTTTACATATAGATAATTTTCAAGTATCAACATTTTAATAAAATGCATGAATGCATTATTACAGAAAAAAATAGGGGTAACCATACTTGGTGTCATAATTATATATGGTGTGAAATAATTAAAACACATTTTAATAACATAATAATTACAAGAATTCTCACAGATGACAGGTGTCACTATACACAGTATACACCTGAGTGTATAATATAGAGGTAGTTAATGGTTAGACTATAACCATTATAAATCATTGAAAAGGCTCAAAAGGCTGACTTTTAATTGTTATTAAATTTGATTGTACTCATACAATACATCAGGGGTCGGCAACCCGCGGCCCGCAGAGCAACTTTTGATGGCCCGCACAAAGGTGGTTAATTTTTGTGTTTTACTTTTGTTCAATAACATTTTTCATATAATTTTCAATATTATATAATTCTTTTTCCTTTATAAATAAAATCTAATCTAACCGTTTCATAATAGCAATACAATTATAAGTATTATATCATAATATGTAATTTTTTTTTTTTTAATGTGGCTGAAATATAATAATGGATGAACAATTGAAAAAAAAATGGCCCGTGTGGTTAAAAAGGTTGCCGACCCCTGCAATACATCATTGGAATTTCATAGTTGTTACGAAATATCTGTTATAGTGTTTTATTAAAAAGGTAAATAATTCGTTGTTATTATTATTACAAAATATATAAACTTTTTTTTTTTTTTTTTATTATTAGATAAAATAGAATATTTACAATCTGTAATTTATATACATACAATAAGTAAATATGATAATAAAGAAAAGGTAGGTATAACATGAATGGCGTGAGGAGGGAGGTCCACCAGTGTGGATACCCTCTAACTTGGGGAAGAGAGTTTTATTTTATTTTATTTTTTTTTTGATTTTTTTTTTTTTAATTAGTGCAGTTTGGGATTTAGAAGATCACGACACCAGTGTCTTTTTAATCGACGTGGGGGGTTATTAGGCATGAATTCACTGGCCAAGTTGGAAATCAATGGATTTGTGTGGTTAGCTGTTTTGGTGTGTAACTTTTTGTAGTAGTTTTTGGCTGTTTTGGAGACTGTTTCAATTTTAAATATATAAACTTATGACAGTATTAATAAGTTTAATCAAAGATGAATATAGTATAGCTAGGTACAGTTATTATGTTGAATTTAAGACCTACTATATCAATTGTTGCAGTTATAAAATGTTGTTAAGCAATAAATAATATGTGAATTTCATTACAATTATTTAATATTAATTTTTATATTAACCATAATACACGTATGTAGATATATTTTAATCAATTATTTTAATACTACATTTTACAATGTTTTTTTTTTTTTGAAATCAAGTTATTAATTGAATCTTAAAATATTGTGTTATAAATTTATCAGTAATTATAATAATTATTACGTCTCGGTACATTATAATAATAATATATTATAGTACCTATATAACGATACTCAACCAGACACCAGACTCGCCCTATATTTTATTTATGTAGGTAGAAGTTAACAGTTATTAAAAAAAAAAATGTTACCTATTAGCTACTTTAACATAATTGCCGATTGATTTAATCAATATGGCACAATTTATTCAAATAAACACTACGGTTTATTTATAGTAGTGAGTAAAAAAACGTTAGGTTTTTCCAACAAATAATATCCCCATGATAAACACATTTTACCAGCACAACCTATAACCGTTGATCCGTGACCGGATCCATAAAACTCGCACAAGCAACATTCGTCATCGACATTATTACTCATTAGTAAAGACCGGATTTATATGCATTTTAAATTGTAAAATATGCATGCAAACATGCACTAAAAAAAGTCAAAATATGCAAGGAAAAAATGCAAAACATGCAAAATAAAATTTCAATTTTATATTTGATTTTAATTTTGCAGTGATAATTATTTATTAATTTTATTACATTTTTCATAAACAAAAAGTTACATGTATAATATAGTACAAAAATTTAATTTTTTGTTAAATTGTAATTTAATTTTTAAACATTGATATATTGTAAAAAATATTTTATTAAAATTAAATAGTAGATACATTGGTGATATACTGATATAAATAGGAAAAAAGTACGAACAATTTTATTGAAGGTAGTAAATTATTAATTTGAAAAACAATAAGTTATCAAAGTATGTTCCATGTTTATTTCCGTGAAATTATGACGGCGATCTGTAAGAATGTACTTGTATGATGAAAAACTACGTTCGACATCAACACTGGTGATTGGAGCATATTTAAAATTTGCTATTATATCCAGCGAATAATTTGGAACAGATAAATCGTCGAAATTAGCACTGTCACCTTGAAGTATTTTTGAAATTTCTTTTAAAACCATTAATCCTTTATTTTTATTCAAAACGTTTTTACATTTTGTTTTAATTATTGTACTATTTGCACTAGTAGGAAGTTCATTAACAGAGTTTTCCACTTGTTCTAAAATTTTTAACGAGTCTACAAGGGACAAATTAGAGGTTTCAAGCTTTTTGATACTTTCAACGATACATAAAAAATTTGCTTTAATGTAAGCAAGATCATATTTTACATTAAATTTATTAAAAATTGATTTACAATTTTGAATGCATTTTGTATTATCTTCTAAGTTTTCAATCACATTTTTGAACTCTTCAAAATGATCTGCGTAAAAAAAGGCCGACTCTAGCCAAGTACCCCAACGGGTAATTATTGGCTGCGGTGGTAAATGTGTAATTGGCAACATTTCTTTATATAATTGAATTCTATACGGAGCCTTTGAGATATTCTTTGAGACGTAAAATATTTGATATTATAATATTATATAAACGTACCTATGATCTATGTTTTTATTTGTATATTTGTACGGTTTTTGTTAAAATATGCAAAAATATGCAGATCATGCATTAACGTCAGAATATGCAAAAATATGCAGTATAAAATTTTGATATTTAATCAATCAAGTAATGATTTGTGGACACTCATTGACTGCATGTATATGATGTTGAAAATAACAACATGCATTTTATGCAAAATCCGGTCTTTACTCATTAGATATTATATGTTTTGTATATTATCATTTTTATACATATATAAAATACTCATTTTCCGTATAGTTGTTCTAAATATAGGTAATAATGTTATATTATTCTACTACCAAAATCAATAATTTTCGAATAGACTGTGTGTATAAGTATACAAATATACAACTGTAAGGCAAGTATGTACAAATCGTGGAGCCATTTATGAGTTTCATCCCCCTCCCCAAAAAATGTTTACATTAAATATTATATTAATACTATTATAAAAATATTACCGAAATTATTTAATTTAAACCTACTCTCCTGATTTTTTTTTTTTTGTTTATATACCAGTATTATGTGACATAATATTTTTGTTTTATAGTATAATATTAGAACAATAAATTTATAGGTAAATGTTATTATCTTCAAACTTTAATTAAATTATTTTTACTGTCAATAATTTTACATTCTCAGCATATAGCAATGAAAGTATTGTTTTTATAATGTATTTGTGTTTTTTGTTTACTCCTAATACACCGATTAGATCCAATTTACTGTTACCAGAAACCACCCTTAATGTCAAAAGTCAAATCATTATTTTATTGCTACAAAAATTAAAACATTTAAAATTTTTTATCATTGTAAAACTAATACATTATTATTTTGCTTAAAATCTAAAATTATGAAAAAACAGAATTTTTTTTCACGAAACCAACTTTTGATGAGATCGGTTTTTTTTGTAACTCATAATTAAATAATCAATTGTAGACTTAAATTTTTCAGTGAATTATTCATTCAAGAATTAACTATTTCCATGAAATAATACAAATATATTTTATCTCATT